CTCTCCCGAGTCTCCGCGTCCATCAAATGACGCTATATATTTCGATCGCGGCTTGATTAGTTATGGGACAGGCCGGAATGCGGTGCGACCTCATCCCGCGATTTTTCAACGGGACTCATTTCATCTAAAAAACAAAATATCATTCAAGTCAGTCTGTTTACAGATACTCTGCAAAAAAGGAGCTCATCTGTACTCCGTACATGCACTTTGTATGGTTTTTGTTCGTTTTTCCCCTGCCCTGCAGTGAGTTGTTGCAACAACTGCAAGGAAGACGTGCTTGTTTCCGATGTGCATAGAGTCAGAGTCACTCAGTCCCAGATAAAAAAGACGTCCCTGCAAGAACTCTCTGCAATAGTCGGCTCCCATCCGGATCTCTGCCAGTCCCTCGGGTTCCTTCGAGTTTGTCCCTACCTTTTCGACTTGCTCGATTTGGACACTGCATCAACCCAGTCACCAACACGCCCACAAAATCTAACCAGCACGATAATTGGCGGGATAGCAAAAATACCCAGCCACTGAAGCCGTTTACTTTACATTTTTCCCTATTCTCTATGGCCTTCTATTCAATTAGTTCCCCCTCCTCCCCCTCATCTTTTAAAACTTCACTGGTCCAACTTTTTTTTTTTTTTAAAGTCGTCTGGTTTGTTCCCCCCTCCATTCCTGATCGCTGGCTCCAGATATGGGGAGATCACGGGGGAAGAAAGAGGCTCGCTACACGACCGCTACATGCGTTTCCAGTTACACCACTATCGTACCACACAGATACCAGGGAACACGCGGGCTGTCGATGCACCCAGGCTGGTGCAGCTCTGGGGAGCTAGCTAACGCTGGGCTTTTCATTGGCTTGACCTAGACTACATAACTGCACTAATCCTCTGTTTCCCTCGTTAAAGCACAGCTTTTGATCCGCTTCTTTATCTCAACTTGCACCAACAATGCAAGTAATACCTGGCCTCATGATAGGTAGATGCAGCAGCCATATTTTTATTTCACCTGGCTTCAAGTTGCTGTCCATTGCAAGCGCATAAAAGTTTAAAGCAACATCCCTGACACGCACATATACACGCAGCTCGCAGCAAACTTGATCTATCGCGGCACACTCAGCCCGTGGAAACAACAGACCTGGAAATATCAAAACTTCCCCGAGTGGACAATCTCAGTTGATCCGGTTAAACTCCTCATCACGGTGAGTTTCCGGAGGTCAGGGCTTGCTTTCATTCAATGAGCCACAAACGCCCCCTCCCCTCCCCTCCTCCACTATCCCCCTCTTGACTCGCATCTCTTTTCGCCATCCCCGTTGGAAAGGGGAAAAACGGATGCCCGTCAATAATGCAAGTACCCTGATCAAAAGAAAGATATGTGGGTTGATTTGTATACATATGTATATACCCTCATACTCCCTGGCAGCAAAGGCTTTTTCTGGCCCACAGCAGAACTGGGAATTTGCTACGTAGGCGAGAGACAGCTGGGCAGATTTGCTGCTGCAGCTTTTGCCCCCACCAACGTCAATATGAAAATGAATATGCAATATCGGAGAGTCATTATGGCAGTTCGTATCGGGTTCTGGGTATTAATTTTGCCTTAGAACTCAGGCCATCTGCCATATCTCGGAGTACTCCGTCTCTTATCATTCTAGACACTCTTGTTTCAACGGGGATTTTTTTTTTTTTTTCGCCTCGATGTGTTGGCAATAATGCAAAACAAATTTTTTTTTGGAAAAGCACCAAGTACCTGCCCGAAAATCGACGGACATCCTTATATCCCCTTCGAACTGTTTCATGAACTTCAAGGGTATCGACCCGGTTATTACGTGTATACTATACGCCCATTAAGATATTTGCCTCTTCCGCTTGGTAGTATCTCTGTGAGCCTTGTATCAAGGATAGAAATTTTCATTTTGCCATCTAACGTGGGATGGATGATATACGAGGGAAAGTGTACTAATGTACAGAGTAACAAGGCGGAGAATATCCAAGGCATAGTCTTCGAAACGTGTTAGACGGTACCTGCTTTACAGTGTGATGGAAAAGAAAAGGGACAGGAGACATTGATATAACCCAAATCAATTGATGGATAGGATGAGCATTGTCGAAAAGTATCAAAAACCAGGCCGCCAGTAAATACACCACTCCGATAGATAATGAACCACTTCCCACTATCCCATTCCCTTCCCTGCTTCCCTCCCTTTCACACCATATAAATCAGTAGTCAGTTAACCCTCCGGCATAAAGACTGGGTATATGCCCTCTCTCCAGAACGTTTCTCGTTTTTTTCGCCACCTCCTTTTTTTAAGCTCGCCTGCAAGAAGAACACGCAACGTAGATAGTAGATATCCGCCAGCCTCCCTTTTTCAATCCAATTTTTGTTGTCGGTCAAGGACATCGTCGGTGTAACGATGATGATTGACGATGATGATGCATCGCAAGACAGCAAAGCGGAACAGAAAACGAAAAAAAAAAAAAAAAAAAAAAAAAAAAAAAACTAAAAAACGACGAGATCAATTAAGTAGCCTCATGAGTTCGAGAGTCAAGATATCCAAGAAGAAAGCAAAGCAAAGCAAACCATGAAAAAAGCGAGCTGAGAGAGCTCAAGCCATACATACATACACCTCACTTGGGCGAGTTGAGTAAAGTAAATAGGGACAAATAAAGAAAAGAGAAAAAAAGGGAAAATACAATAAAAGGTGAACCGGGCGACGGAAGGAAAATAATGCGATAATAATCTCGGCCGGCTTAAAGGGCTGGATCCTCGTGCCCCCTTTTTTTCCGCAGTGGAATGGATGGCCTTATCTGAGGACCAGGTTAAGAATTGAACTGTCGTTGATCATCTGCTTGTTCGTTCTTTGATCGTTTATTTATATCGTGCAACTGGGCCGGGATTCCTGGCTGCTTTGTGGTAGTAGTTGATGTGTCATTGGTCCGGCATTGAAGGGGTTATTGTCCATCGATATGTAGTCGAAGGACTGATGTCTTGAGCCATGTGGTTCAGGAATAGGGAGGCCGTGAGTCGGCTGGAGAGCGGAGTTGGGGGCTTCGGAAGTGACCATGGAAGGGGGGGCGAGGAGTTGCTGAGGAACGAGGTGGTTTGTGTTGTATTCCACGGGGCTGTATAGGGGTTGCTGGAACGAGGACCAGTGATGGCTGTCTCTGATGGTGTTGTTGATGTGCTCGTCGACGGGGGAGGTGGCGAACTCAGGCTGGGAGAAGTACTCGATAGTTTGGTCGGCCGGGGGCTTACTCTCCATGTTGCTGAAGTCGGCCAGGTTGGGGGCGCGGAAGAGGTGAGGTGGTTTGTGGTCACGGACGAGGGACTGTCTCTTGGGTACGTGGGAGGGTGAGAGGGTCGAGTATTTGGCCTCCATTGTCTTGCGGGAGTCTTCTGTGAGGGCTGAGTTCTGACCGGCATCGCTCATTGCTTCAGAGTCTCGTTCGGTTTTGGCGTTTGCGTCTCTGTTGACGACGTATACCACGGCATTGGCATCTATACCCCCTTTATGTTAGCCGCTGTGATACCCAAGAGGTATGTATACATATATACACATGTGTGTGTGTGTGTATGTGTATATGCCTACCTGCTTCGCCCCTTTCGTAACACTCTTCCGCCCTTCGGACCTTGTAGATCTCATCTAGGATGTCGAGCCTCTCTCGGGGTTTTATCTGTCTCTGAGCATCTCTTCCGGCCTCTTCTAGCTTGTCAGCGGTGATACCATGTGTTTTTCCCAGCTTGCGGAAGATGTGGACAAGTAGGCGTATCCGTTCTGGCTTCTTTAGGTGGTCTGGTTCTCGGTGGATGACGCCCGCTGGCCACCAGTCCGGCTTGGTCTTCTCTGGGTCACCTTTCTCGCCTGGAGCTCCTCGTCCGCCGTTGTATGGGTGCTTGACTTGCTTGCGTGGCTCGATAATCTTGATGTATGCCTTTGCCACCTGGCGGCAGTTGATCTGCTGGAAGGCCCTGAATGCTGACTCGTAGTATGCCTCGATCTTCTCTTCGTTTCCAATCTCAAGGGGCACCATCTCCACAGCCTCCATCTCATTGACCTGCTCCTCCGCCTCAATGGGAGCCTGGTGGTGGATCATCTCTCGACGACGCTTCTTGGGGAAAGCTGGGTTAGGGAAGACATCTACTTCTTGAGCCATTGGCCACTGTCTTCCTTGGTATGAGTCTTCTCCTGATATAACATGATAAGCATAAGATGCAGAAACAAAAAAGGAAAAGGAGAGTCTTGATAGGCAGCTACCAACCGGCAAAGATAGGTGATCTATCAAGAGCCTTGACACCCGTGGCCCGCTCAAACCAATGTTTGAATTCTGAAGTAAAGACGGGCCCATTGAACTTTTCGAGCAGAGAAGAATGGAACTTGAGCTGGCCCGACCAGTCGATACCGACCAGGGCAAAGTGAGGATATGGCACCTTGAGAGCGTTGGTGGTGCTAGTAGTAGTTGTGGCTGCTGGAGTACCGGCCATCATGGGCTTTGTCGAGTCCACCAATGTTAGCCGAATGAACGAGGTTTTTAAGGTCACACCAGAATTTGATATCAGACCGTTCACTTACCGGCATTGTGTTCCATGAAGGATATTCCTCGACTCCCTGAGCCTGAGCCTGGCAATGCATGGGAGAATACTGGTCCATCCCTTTCATGTTGACGCGGGGACGACCGGCCTCGGTGTTGACTACCATTATGAGTAGTCTAAAAAGGGGGCTCACTCGAGGTGAACCGCTCAGATTACCCTTTGCTGGTGTATGAGATGCAGAGAGTGGATAGATATGGCTGACTGAATCTTTCTCCGCTCCCTAGCTCAGAGAAAGATTTGAGAAGGGGGTAAAAAAAAGGAGTGAAAGAGAAAGAGTGAGAGAGGTGGCTTGGTGCTGATATATCAGGATCTATACTGCTGGCACACCGTATATAGAGAGCAAGAGGAGACGTTGGAGATATTCAAATGGTGGATATCAAAAATGACACCGCCGTGGTTGAATTGAAAGGAAGGATTGGATGTTGACGATGTATGATCAACAACGGGAGATATCAACCAAGGACAGTGATGCTGATGATATATTCAAGCGTATATATGTATGTATGTATGTATGTATAGATATATCAGAGCAGTGGTCCCTCGGGATGGAGAGGATGGTAATAGGCCAGGAGATGGGAGAAGGGTGGCTGGCAGGATATATATGGACGAAGTAAGTATACGCCAAAAAAGAAAAGGACAGGGCCTTTCGTCTGGAGGGGTTCTTTTGGCTGGATGCAGAGAAAATCAAGATGCGATCGGGGTCAGAAGATAAGGTCGTCCTTTAAAGGTATATAATAAATATATTGGTTCTTCGAACGTGCGGATGGCAAGGTGCAAAAAAGCAAGCAGGCCAGCCCAAGCAAAAAGCAAAGACGGGCAGCGCAGAGGACAGTCTAACAACGACGAGGACGAAAGAAAAAGATTTATTAGGACGAGGAAGAATAAGGAAGAAGCAGAAGCAGAGGTACCGTTTCTTTTTTGATACTGATCCACAGACATACATAAATAGTGTTACAGACCACCCAACGCACTGCAGGGCCCCTCGAGAATTTACAACTTCTTGCAGACTGTGCATAAAACTGAATACCCCACAGTCACCAAGGGCCATCCTGTGGTGGCTTGCGCTGCTTCTTTTTTGCTTTGGGCCTATTTTGCGTGTCTCTTTGCTTTTCTGGCTGGCGGTTTTGGGTGGTGCTGGGCCTGCGTGCTGCTGCTGGTGCACGCTGCTTCGACCCAGCATACTTACGCTTACTTACACTTGCCTACATGTTCTGTAGCTAAAAGAGAGCATAACAGGGTTTTCCGAGAGTAATTCAATCACATGGAACCAATATGTCGATCATGATGAAGGCGGGTTGGTGCTTTTTGATGTGCGTTCCACCGTACGTTTGCCCCAAACTTAGGGGGCTGAGGGAGCTGGCAGACGGTTAAGGGGGGAGAGGGAGGGAGGACAGCCGCCAGAGACAGCCCAGGTATACACATAATACTGTGTACGGAGTACAGAAGAGGGCCCTTTTGAACACACGGACGGCGAGGGCGAGACAAGAGACCGCGCGGGCGAGAGACAGGCTTACACTTTGCGTCTTACACAGAGAGTCCCTTCGGACTTCTACTGGCTTTGAGGCCAGCGGATGGCCCACCCCATGTCTGTGCGTATATTTATATATCGCCTTGAAGAGCCTTTGCGAAAAAGGGGAGACGACAGAGTTGCAAAAAAAAAAAAAACACGAAAAAGCAACAAGATGCAAAAATGGATGGAGGAAAAAGCAACGGCCAGGAAGAAAGAAAGAGAGCAGCAAGCTGAAAAAGCAACGGGAGCAGCCCAGAGAGGCAGCAAGAAGAACCAGAGGCAGCGAGGGAGAAGAAGGGCCACGGTCGATGGTAGTTAGTTATGGTATGGAGGGACGCTGGAGGACGCAGGCGAAGCCAGACGGGAGCCCACCGGCAGCAGAGTGATAGGCTTGCATCCGTCTTCCATCCGGCTCAACAAAGCGAAAGCGAGGAGCTACGAGAGAGAGAGAGAGAGAGCTTGAGTTAGCTTATCTCGCGCGAGTACTCCGTACTCCGTACGACTATCGAAATCTCTAGGCAGGCAAGCAAGTACATCTATCGGGTTACCGTGGATGGAGACCGCTGACTCGAGCGTTGGGACGTTCCCCCCCCGTCCGCCGGTGGTCCGGTCAAACGTCAACATCCCCTCGATCGGGAGGCGGCAAAGTGAACCATGGCCCTGCAGGAGAGTCTCTTTTCTCCTCAGCGTGTATACTTGCTGCTCATCGTGCCTTTTCTCCAGGATCCAGTTCAGCTGTGGCAAGGGGGAAAGCAAGCTGGTAACTGCATCAGCAAGATATACACCGGCGAGTACCCGTCAGTCTGGATCAATAAAGGAACGGATTCTCAAGCCGCAGGCCCGGATAAGAAGAGAGAGATTGGCTTTTTTTTGGCCCTTTCTCTGGCCGTCTGCTCTCGTCTTGTCGCTTTCTCAGGGTTTAGGGCAAAGCAGACTGACGCAGCGAGAAGACGAAAAAGGAACGACTTTGAAGTTGCAAAGAAAAAAAAATAAAAAGGGGCAAAAGCAAACATGCGGATTTTGGGGGAAAAAGCAACAACGCCTGCTGTTCTGACCAGTGCTGATGCGATAGTCTCTCGCCTTGCCCTAATCTGGCCATTCCAGCAGGCCCAGGGATGCGCGGAATCTCGATGATGAACCAACTGGACGGGAACATTTGGCTGCAAGGTTGAGATCGCGGAATCTGGGGTCCCTGAGCCGCCGGCCTCTCAGTGGTGCATTCTCCTGGGCTGTGGGCGCCCTCTTAACCGAACTGGTTTTAATCCTCGTTTCGTTTCTTTTTCCCCCTGGCCCATTGGTGTTTTGCTTTGGCTACTTGGGTGTCTTTTTTTTGCGAGTTTAACTGCCGTTAACTGACTCTCACATTTTTGCCCCCTAAGTCATAGTCATGATAGTTTGCTAAACCTGATGCCGGGCCAGGGTCCAATCAGCGGCGGTGGCCGGCCGATGTGATGAGTATAGCTCCCTCTAAGCAGTCCCTGGGATGGATGAAAGTACATACATAGCTAACTGACGGAGTTGCTTACAAGCTTAACTCGAACTGCTTTGCTTCGACATGGACAGGGAGGCTTTGGTCCTCTTTTTTTGCAAACACCGTCATCCTCGGTCTTTTAACTACTTGCTTTGCGAGGGGGGCCCATGGATGTACGAACAAGCAGGCATATCCCACCCATCGAATACATTATTATACATATTCTTATATGTCCGTACCTGTTGTTGGCAGGGAGGTTTATTTCAATATGTATATATATATGTACGATGATTCCATAGCTGTGGCGCGGGCGAGAGATTATGGCTGAGCAGGGCTCGGAGTCGCCTGCGGTGGTACAGAAGGTGTACATCGCGGAGATACTGACGGAGCATGAGGCTGCTGGCACGGAATTATACTGGAGAGCGCACGGCTAGTCCCGCCGTTGGAGCCAGGCGTTCCAGAACCAGAAGAGGGAATATCGACACCCTGATCTCACACGGCACGGGGAGAGAAGGGAGGGTATGGGGGAGGGCCCGGCATCTGCCCTCTTTTTTTTTTTTCCAAGGTGATCAGACTGGCACAGTGGAGAAGACAAGACAGAGACAAGAAGGGTCGGCCAAAGACGATACGACGATGACCCTTTTTCTTTCTTCCACGGTGGAGCGAAGGGGGGGGGGCTGACAACCTTCCAGGGCTTTGGGATAACCTCCTAACGACGGCACCAAAGGGGGATCTGACCCATCAATGGAGAGGGAACAGACCGATGTTTAATGCAGGCAGCTGGGGAATTGCATCTGCTAGTAGTTACTACTATGTAACGAACACTAACTAAAACAACATCACACATATCAGGGACAGTGGAGTTGTATTTTGGCCCTGGCTTCTGGCTTTTTTTGTCTTTTCTTCTCCTCTGACAGGCGCAGGCACAGGCACAGGCACACGCCAACGAGGAGCCATCTCCAGGCGGTTTTAAGCTGCGTTGTCTTGATACTCTCAAGCAAGGGGGAGGCAAGCCAGATATGCAGCCAGCACTTCTTCTTCCCCAGCACTGCTGCTCGCCTTCGCGGAGTTACATATACACTCAGCTCGACGGAGTATCAGCTCAACTCTACTCCCTAGTTGCTCTGCTGAAGAATGACCACCGGGTCTGTCTTCCGTGTTGTGGTACCTTCGCCAAGTTCAATCTCTCCTCGGCCGCGACTATTGCTACTGCAAAGCCCGCTCACCCCCCCTACCAAAAGCCTAAAGCCAGTTAAAGCTCTCTAGCTGATTCGTTAGTTAAACGTCTAACAGACGAACCAGCACACACACACACACCCTCTCTTTTTTGCACATTTTATGCTTCTCGGGTGAGTTGCTCCTTGATAAAGGGGGGGAGGGGGCCTCAATTGATGAACTCGAGAGGCAAATTGGATGCTCCCCGAAAAAAAAAAGGGTCTGATCGAGCTGGCCCATGGTAGATTAAGAGATATACCCGTCGCCATCGTCCTGAAGCAGGGCAGGAATCTCAGCTCAACCTCACTTTCGCCGTCCTTCTCCGTCCTGCTGCGTGAGCCATCGCCTATCGCCCCACAGACAGACAGACAGCCAGAGAGAGAGAGATGCAATTGAGCCAAAAAGAAAACTGTAACAAGAGCCTTCGGCCACTCGGAATCTCAAGCTGAATCGAATCGTGCATCATCTACTGCAGCATCCAATGCAGGTGCAAGGAGCTTTTGCTCAAAAGTGTCCCCATTTTCAGGACTCCTTGAAACCGGCTCTGCTGGGAGGGTAAGTACTTACATACGAGGGAGGTGAGTCTCAATATTATTTTTTTTACACACTCTAACCTTCTCCCGCAGAATACATGTGTCTACCTTGGGGTATATCGACACGTATGTTAATGAGCTGGCATGTCGATTTGACCCTTGCATGGGGGATATGTAGGTAGAGAGATAGGGGAGGGAATGCTGGCTTGGGTTCCGAGATTTGAAGGGAACCTGATGCTTAGCTGCTGCACTAGGGCTGTCCTTGGACAAAAGAAGGGATGGGATGGATGTATATATCCAAATATCCCCTGTACATATGACATCGGCTGCAGTGCATCTGCTGCTGCAAGAACCATCCGAATGGTCCATGGGACGACAACAGGCAGGCAAGATATTCGAGAATGAAATTAAAGTCTTTCTCCTGATATTGAAAATGATCTGATCGCCTATAGGCTCATTTCCTGCTCCTCCCTCTCTGCCCCTTTAACCACTTCTCCTCCCCCCTTCGTCATGCCCCCCTGGCGCCATCGTATCGTACATATCCCATTTACACTCCCTGGGAGAAGAATGAGTCGCACGACGAAAGGCTCAAACAAGGCCAAGCATCGTCTCCAGGCCATTAGCAGCGGTATTATAGCTAGCAACTGCTATTATTATCATTAAGGTAGTGTACCTTAACGACACCCACATGTATGTACGGTTTAAGCAGCAATGTTGTATATAACTCCGTATATATATATATGTATGCACAACCACACATGGGCTGCCACACGCGCCTCAACCGCACACAGAGCATGCAGTTCCGTGTCCATAACTTAACCACCATGGGCCAGCCAGTCAGAGGCCGCTAATTAAATGTGCAGCTCTTCTGTCTCACCGTCTCACCGTGTACAAGTCCCTTTTTCTGTTTTATGCAAGGGAGCAGAGAGAATCCGAGCAGAAACTGCACAGATCACATCCCGCCGGCAGACAGACTGATATCTGAACAATTCAATCCCGTATCCTCCACTCCACCAAAGAGGTTGCAGAGAGCTACTTGCACCGTGGATTGCGTATAACTCTTGCAGGTCAGCATGTTACTCCCGTATGCTCCTACGGCTTCATCAGACTTTTCTTCCCCTGCACATCGAACCACTTCCGATCATCTTGTGAAAAAAAGTATCAAAATAAACCTTTAATATATTTCCTGGCCCTCTTTTGAAAATAGTGTTTTAATCTTCCTTTTTGTAAGGTAACTAGTTAACTCAGCGTACGATGTTTCCGGGCCCATGATTCAAGGACGGTACGCACCGCTGCCGCTGCCGCTGCCGCTCGCCCGCCCCATGGATGAGACAGGAGAAACAGGAGGGACAGGAGAGGCTGTTCTTCGTCCTCTTTACTACCCGGCTGGCTACCGACCGAGAGCTGGTCGGTTTACTTTGCCAGTTAGAAGAAGTGACTCTGATACTGCAGTCAGGCAGGGTTACAAAAGCTACGTCTGTTCGTCCTGATTCAAGTCAAACATGCGAGATCTGCCTCTAGAAACAAACCTTCTTCGCCTCCTTTTTTGCTTCTTCTTCTTCTTCTTCTTCATCTTCTTATTCTTATTCTCGTCTCTTCTGATCTGCTTCTGCTGCTGCTACGTCGGCTTCGACTTCGACTTCTCCTGACGGCAGCGTTGCTTTGACTGGAACCTGGCTTGCCGTAATGTAGCCCTAGCCTGATGTGCGACGCTGAACCCGGTTTGATGCCAACGCTCGTTCCAAGATCTGGAGTGGAATCGACATGCTTTCTTTTTCTCCTGCTTCTTCTCCTGCTTCTTCTTGTTCCTTTTATGTCTGTTTCCCTCCTGCTTGTCTGTCTGTTGAGCCCTGTGGCATGTAACCAATGTAACTGTGCGTTCAGGGGGAAGATCAATAATGATAGCACGGGGTAAACCCGCCACCCCGAAGAAAAAGAGACACAGAAGAAGAAGAAGAAGCAGAAGCAGAAGCAGAAGCAGAGAAGAAGTAATGTGCAGAGGGTCCAATATGCTTAAATTCGCGGGAGGGAGAAAAATAAACCATGGCTCAGAAAGTGAGGCTGCGTGGGGGGGAGGGATGAGTCTGCCGTCCTGTTCCTGTTGATAGCCACAGCGATCAGACGGGATATAGATGAAGACGACGACAGCGACAATCATGATGATGATGATGCTGCTGCTGCTAAAGATAATGATGATGATGGAACTGGTGTCTCATCGTCGTCATCGTGACGGCCGAGACCAATAAATTTCCCTTCTCAGGCAATCGAATATCTGTCTATCAGACCCCCAGGAGAGGCCCCAGAGCCCGCTCAAGCCCTTCCGTCCATTGCCCCAGGCGGCTCGTGTGGATGGAGGGAGACGAATATATATGTTTAATCCACGCCCGTACACGGCGAATAAGGGAGTAATAAGGGCCAGCAGAGCCTCCTATTCGCTGTCTCGAGCTGTCATGGGGACAGGCAGACAGCAAACCGAGTGCTACCAGAGGGCCAATATATACAAAAGACCCCCAGTGGCGGCCCAGTCACGGCCGCAGGAAAAGAGTGTGAAGGACAAATGACGTCGAGATATATTCGAACAAGACCTCTCCGGCCGGCCAGTGAGCAAGCAGGAAAATACAGAAACGTATGAACAAAAAAAGCAACGGTTTTTGAAGAACCAAGAAGAGGTTCTTTTGCTCTTTCATAAATCAGTCGTACAGCATTTGGGTCGTTGATCGCCCCCTTTGTGCGTCGTTACGCCCTCCATCGACCGTTAGTTTATACGTACGTACTTTGGCTGACTCGAGCCGCCCGGACGCTTTCATGCCACTAGCCAGTCGACGGCTAACTTACCATCAATCGTCATCGTCGTTGTCATAATGTCTGTCATGGTCAAGGTCATGGATGGATGGATGGACCCTCCGTTGTCGTTGACAAGGCGCTGCCAAAACAGCAGCTCGAGCCAGCAGGCAGCTCGATGCTCTCAGCCTGTTCAGGTTCAAGCAGGCCAAGGGACGCCATCCCAAGCCACGGATAGTACCCTCCCCTGTTCCCCGGAAGCATGAAGCAAGGCTCAAAGCAGCAGAGCAGGGGGTCAGGGGGGGGGTGTGTCTCCCCTCGAGAGTTGCGATCGTACCTGCAACAGCCCAGCAAGAACGCAAAAGAATTAAAAAAAGACGACGAGCCCAGCGATGCTGCATCATGCATAAGTTTTTCACTCTTAATTTTGTTATTTTTTTCTTTTGCAGGTTTGCGGGAGAGAGCTCTGCTAATAATAAAATGAATAATCGGAACCCTCTGCCATCCCCTGTTTGATATTGCATATATTATGCACAGGAGGCTTGGTTCTGGTTTCTCGCTGCGCACGCAGGCAGCTCCAGCGCGAGAGATATTATTTCATATTCTCCATCTAGCTATCATATTTGCATCAGATATGGCTATTTCTTACATGCTGCAGCAGGACAGGGCAGGGGGTGGCCCGTATTATTATCCTTTTTATGTACTCGGATTCATTCAACCATCTCGCTAAAATTATCACCATCAACAGGCTAACTGCCATCGCCAACCAAGCCAGAACCCGTTGCTGGTCAGTTCAAGCCGCTCGAGCCAAGCCGATCATGTTCATAGTGATCGAGTGACGACGTCAACAAGAGGCTGGCGTTCCTTTCTTTTTATCCTGCACTGCTGTGTTTTCCTTTTGCCCTCGAGCCAGGGGGGGGTTGGTTAGTTAGACCGGCGACTTGGAGAACACCCCTGGACCTGGGCAGCGATCATCTCTCTCCTTGCCTCATGCTAAAATTTCACGCCTTGATATGATGTGACGACGACGTTCAAAAAGGCAGATGACAGTGATTGATCGCTTGCTGGTTGCCGCCGCTTGCTGATATGGCATCCGTCCAGCATCCACCACTCTGGGCCCTGGGTCTCGGGAGATATTCTTAACCTTGCCAGCCGGACGGACGGGTGCCCTTGGGTCCTGTCTCTTGGTTTCTGGTCCTTGGGACGCTCATCATTTTAACTGTTGTTGGCTGGAGAACGGGATCCAGAACGACCACGGTTCGATCAAAGGCTTTTCTTCTTCTACGGCCGCCCCCAGCAGCCTCTCGTCTCTCGCTGCCGGCATCTGGCTGTCTCGACTTATCATCTTCTGCACCTCTCTCATCCTCAACCCTATGCAGAGTTTCGCTTACACTTCGTTGGCTTCTTCTTCGTCTTCCTCTTGCTACTCCACAGATTGCCTACGGGTCATCCGGGCTATTTTTGCGTAAGAAAGAAGCAAAGAGGAAAAAAAAAAAAACGAAGCAGAAAATTTCGCAGTAAAAAAAAGAGACGAAGGGAAAAAAAGGAATAACTAGCTAACCATTTGGAATAATCTCAAGAAGGACGAAGAATTGAGTGCTGCAGTGCAGTTGCAGGCATTTCTGGCTCTATCACTCTCGCGTTCTCTCTCTCCCCCAGCGTTCGTCTAATGCACGCAGGGAATACGGAGTGCAACTGGCGATATTCCCATTTGCTCTGCTCTTATGCTCAGAGAAGACGCCAGCTTTTGGTTGAGCTTAATTCATGCCCTTGCAATTGAACGAATCCCTGGAGAGGCATAAAATCAAGTCGATTGAACTATTCAAACCACGGATGCTGGCTACGGCATGCTTATACACATATAAGTATACATACGGAGTACATATCGAGTATAGTTATATGCTCAATGCTCGGTCCAGTTTGATAGTTTCTCGCCTTCCGCCATTCCCCTCTCTCCCAAGAAGAAACCAACACTGGTCCGTTTCTTCTTTCTCATCCTTCACTCGCCGTCGAATACGACGGAGAACAAACACTACTACCACCCTACAGCCCGTTAACATGCTTCGTGCATGCCGAACCTGCTTTTCCCGCCACAAACAGGCCGGGGTTCAATTGACTGCTGTTACCTTTGCCATCATCATATGTATATTTTAAGCGGGCATCTAAGCGGGCCCCAGCGAGGGGGGAGAGAAAGCACAGGCGGTCGGTCTGGGTACTCCGTACTTTATATACATTTATGTACGGAGTACCCACCCGCTTGATTGACTGGCTGCCCACTCCGGCGGCATCTCAAACCTGCCGCACAATGATATAGGTCATTTTTTTCCCACCTGGACAGGACAGCGTGTCGGATTGCGCTATAACTACCGAACAAGGTACGGAGAAGTATATTTCACAGGTACCTTAACCAAGAGGTACAGATATACTCCGTACAGACATATGCTCTGTACTCCGTACACTGTTTGCCAAATGACCCATATAACCATGTTATTCGTGTGCGCAGGACAAGGGAAAAGAAACAATGAGTCTCCATGGCAAAACAAAAGCGCAGCACCCTCCAGCATCCGGGGAAGATGGAAGCAAAGCCAAAATTAAAGGTCAAGAAGAAGAAGAAGAGGGGAGAGAGAGGAAACTGAAATTGAAATTGGGGGAATATTTGGAAAAAAAAAGGGCCCTTTCAGTGGCGGCCATCAAGCTACCAGGTCACACAGTGGCGCGGAGAGGAGCGATGGATGGCTGAGCATTTCGTTGCTTTTAACACGGAGGAGGGCTGCTCGGTTTGTCTTTCCCCCTGGGCTGGCCCCGTCAAGCCATTCATTTGAGAAGAAGATAAAAAAAAAACAATTGAAGATGAAGCTGGAGAGAGCCATATTAAGCAGAGTTGCACAGCACCAGGCATCTCTCCTCTTGTTGTTGTTGCTATTGCTGCTGCTACTGCTCTTGCTTCTTCCCTGGCCTGTCTTCGGTGCTGGCTCTCCCTATCCGTCCCGGGACGCGGACACATGCCGTCTGGACGGTACGGTAGGATCCATTTTTGGCTTCCCTGTCTTGTCCAGCCGTGCGGAGCCCGTTAGACTTAGGAAATACACTTACAGTTGAGGTCGAGGTCTAGGCCGCCAGTCAGTCGAGTCATATGGACGGAATGGATGGATAGGGGGCGGTGGTAATAACTAACGATCAAGAAACAAACAGGAGGGAGAAAAGCACGGGAGAAACAGACGAAGAAGGACAAGACGGTTCTAGTGTTCGCGTAGAACTCGATCTCGCAGCCTGTCAGATTGCTGCAGTCCTTCGCGGATGGCTTTTTCTGTGCATTCCTTTTTTTTTGCCTTGCTCGATGGCTCATGGGCTGGCTGGCCTGCAGGACAAAGCCGATCGCCAGCCACTATTCGATGGAAAAGGGCTCTTCTGGCCGGTGATTGGCGAAGGAAGCGGAATCAGAAACAGACGCACGCCCTCGTTGCAGGCAGATACTCCAATAGAGTCGCCGGCTGAGGGGTGAAGATGGTATAAAAAAAGCAACATGGGTGGTGCATCTGCTACATATTTCGATGTCCGAACTGCTGGTCGCCAGCCGATTCTCCTCTAAGTAGAAAGGGGGGAGGGGGGATAGGGGGCCACTCACACCAGGCCAGACAGTTACATCCGCCGTAGTTACGGGAGCCGTATGTACATACTTTGGTAGACGGCAGTGTACATCAAAAAGCAACAACACCACCACCACCACCATCTCGGTCCCAAGACTCTGGTGAGGGGGATGCTCTAGATCAAACGGCTGCGGTCCCAATTGTCTGGCGATCCGCGCATGCTTAGCGTTTCGATAGTGGCTCGTATCGCTTCCTTGGTTGAGAGCAGCAGGCCAGGCGAGTCATTGACAGCATATGCTGCCAGTCGAGCCCTGCATGTTAACTATCACTATTATTATTAGTTATTTATTACTACTCTGCCTGGCCGTGCGGGCGAGATGGCTAGCCATGCGCTGGAACTAGAGGGTTATATTGAAAGCACGGCCAGCGCCAGCGGAGCCCCTGTGCTCCATCATGGCTACCGAGACAAGACTCCGGCCAGCCCTCGGGATATGCCGTTCGATGGCGACGATGGTGACGCCAGAGACGGCGCCTCCCCCTCAGGCAGTAGTGGGTTTATCCGCACTCGCAGCCAGCAGCCTGAGCATCGGTTCCACCCTTCGACACCACCGGGAGGCAACTTGGATTCAGGGGAGACAACTATACACGGCCGATATACGCTTGCCCAGAAGCTTCGGGCCATCGAAAACCTACCAACAGAGTTATGTACATACATGCGTACAGGCGTACACCTCCCATCCACACGGACGGGATTCGACTGTGTTGATCGAAGGGACCGTGGGAGGATCAGGAGGGAGGCGGGCAGACGGCAAGCAAAAAGGAGACGCCAGAGAGAAGGACGCTGTTCAATCTCCGCGCTCCACCAGATGGTGATCATCTCCATTGCCTCGGGTACGCTGAGGCGATGATGCCATGGCCGGAGTATATTCTCCCTCGCTCTGGAGAACGGGAGGAGCGGCCCGTTCTTGCAATTCGCCCACGGCCACTCCAGCTACGGAGTCAACTAGTTAGCTGCAACTTACCAAGACCCTTTTTGACGACTCCTCTGTCTACAGAGTACGAGGGGAACTAAGTATATGCAGCAAGTCTATCCGCTCTCCATGTGTGCTTTTGCCGGGTGACTTACGACCTCGAGGGACCCCCCCTCAGGTGGCATCTCGCTGGCTGTGTACCTCTACTATAGACTCCCGTCCATATAGTTACGAGGCGGCGAAGGCGTGCGGTCTCTGCTCAGATCTGGGGAAGGGAAGTGGACTCCCCTTTTTCCGTCCCATGACATGTTGCTAGCCGTCGATTCACTTCGCTAGACAGGCAGGTCAAGAGATCTCCGTCCCCAATACTGAGGACCAACTATAGATTAACTTATATGCATGAAAACGCCCATGACGGCACCGCATCAGACCCCAAAGCAAGATCCAAGATCCAAGATTCAAGATTTACACCCCTCGCATATTCGATGACTCCATAGCCTGCAACCCTGACTATCAGGGGGCAGAAGGGGGCAGACGATAGTCAACTGCACGAAGAAGCAAAAGGGGGAATGCGTAAGCTAGCTCTGGGTGGCCATCAACTTAAGCCTAGCACAGCTGAGCCCACACAGCCCAGTGCAGGTGGATTATAGTGTTATTATTAGTTAAGGATAAGGATGGGCGCTTCATGCTCCTGCGCTCCAGGCTCCAGAGCCATAACTAATCGACAGCGGCGCCCACCAATGCAAATCTGCAAGTCGACCGGCGTGGATAAGAGTCGAAACCAAGCAGGTCTTGTTTGCCTTTCTGCGAGGGACGAGATGTGCGTCTGCTTTGCCCCTGGAGAGGAGGGGGAGGGGGGAGGGGGAGTGGATGCCAGAGAGGGTCCATCGTTGATGCACGCAAGCAAAGGAAGCAAAGCAAGCAAAACATCACAGCCTCAGGAAGGCCAATCGAGACGACAGAGATGTCCACGCGATGTGTCGGAGAAGCGGAGAAGCCAATAATGCCTACTGGCTTTATGGAGTAGTTCTATCAGAGAAATGTGAAGAAGACAAATTAAGAATAATATACGCAGTGTTATGGAGTCGTCAAGCTGGCTGACGATGATTGATATCCGAGATTTGGGACCCTGATATAGCTCCCTGCCATTTTGTGCCAGGCATTATCCCTCGTATTATTGTTATTATTTGCTCGTCAGAGAGCAGCAACATGACTTTTTCAAGGGATATTATTATCCACATACTGAATCATATCCAAGGGCATCCATCGGGTGGAGGAGGGAGGGGGACCGCTTACGACGGGAGAAAAGGGGTTATAGCTCGACGGCATATTGGACATGGATGCTGTGGTTAAGGCAGATTCTCTGCTGCAAGGCTATCTCAAAATGTACATAATGTGTACTCCATATGCCAGGGCTGGAAGGGATGAAAAATATTAATAAACAGCAAAAAAGAAGACTATTAACATTTTTTGGTTGCCGATTTAGTTATAATAACAGGCCACATATACAGCGGGTTGTGTGATAATGTCTGACTATTTTTTCGCTTTCTTCCCCTTTCGTACCGCCGTGTTGCAAAGTACGATGCTGCACGCTGGGCAAACCCGTATCGTCGCCTGCCAAAGCCGAAAACTCCCAGCAATGGAGTCGATTTGCTCCACACCACCCTTCCCTTTGTCCCGGAACTCGATGTTAATGTGCGATATTGCTGGGATATTGGGCCCGATGGTTCGGAAGCCAAACATTCCCCGGGGCTGAAAGAGACAGCCAAATCGACAAAAAAAAAAAAAAAAAAAAAGGAGGGAAGAGGGTTGCTGTATGTTGGCTGCATCGAGTCGAACCATGGACTCGGTAGAGGCAGGGACAGGTCTGGCAAGCAAAATTATTGAAAAATATACCCTCCCCTTTGAAGCGAGGCGGAACAATAAATAAACGAACGAGCGAACAAACGGGCTGGGTTGGATGGACAGTGCTGAACCCACCCGTGTATCCGCCGGCCCGTCGAGTCATGGCCTTGTTCGACATATCCCCCCTGCTCTATAACTTTTTGATGAAAGAAAAGGAAATGGAAATGGGGCAGATAAGGGAACGAAAATAAGGGCGACGAGGGCAGTGCTGACGGTGATGGTCACACTGCTTGTTGATAATGAAACGAACGACTCCAGGAGGCATTTTTGTTGTCGATGGGCGGCATGCCACATCCTCCTCCCCCGGTTCTCTGGGATACTCCGATCCATGCTGTTATTTTTGCCTATTCGGGTAATCCCTTATTTATCCAGGGCTGCCGGGGAAGAAGTGCCGGTTTCAAGCAACCCTGCCTCCTTGACGAGAGTGTAGAATTGCCCTCCACGTCGAATGAGTTCGGCAGGAGTGTCGAACTCAGCTACAGTGCCGCGATCAAGCACAACAATCCGATCGCTGTCCAGAATGGTGTTGATACGGTGAGCGATCGTTATGATCGTGCGGTTCTCGAAGATACTACTGCGCAACATCTGTTGCAAGAGGGCATCGGTTTCAACATCAACAGCGGCCTAGATTAGTTGATTATTCATATTGCGGTTAGTCAAGGACGGCTCATCCCCCATCAGGGCAATAACATTTTGAGAAATTGGAATCGAATGAACTAATCCGGTCACTTACGGTTGCTTCATCAAGCACCAAAATGTTGCTTGGAGTCAATAGTGCTCTAGCCATCGAGACGAGTTGTCGTTGTCCCTGACTCAGGTTGGATCCTGCGAAGATATGCATTAGATTTCGTGCTCGCGAATCGGAATCGATCCCAGAAATCGAATAAACAACCCCAACCAACGTACCTGCTTCGTGTATCTGGGCATCCAGCTGTCCGGGTAAGCTAGAGACGTGGTCTTTAAGCCGTGCATGTTCTAGGGGTTGATGACAGTCAGTACTCTGCATGATGCACGAGAATGCATTCAAAATCTAAGACATGAAGTTGACATACCAAGAACGCTCCATAGTTCGGTGTCGTCGTGTACATGACGGGGGTCAAGGTTATCTCGAACCGTCCCTTCGAACAAAGCTGCGTCCTGTGGGATAATCGCAAGACGACCACGCAGGTCCTGCAAGCCAATCTTGCTGATATCCAATCCGTCGATACTATTGTTGAGATAGGTAAAGCTTGGTTAGCTAGCTGCATCTTTCCCGACAATTCGGTTCACCCGTGCACACCCAACATTTATATCGACTTACCTGATTTGGCCTTCAGCTGCCTCGATAATACGGAACAAAGACAGCGTCAACGAACTTTTGCCTGCTCCGGTTCTTCCCACAACTCCAATCTTCTCATGCGGCTTGATGTTAAGGTTAATTCCCTTCAACACAAGATCCAATCCGGGACGGTATCTCGTGCTGTAGTTGTTGAATGTCACAGCGCCCTGCGAGGGCCAGCCTAGTGTGGGTCGATTTTTGAATATAACATCTGGGGCTTCACTTGGGAGATTTGCATATTCGAGCACACGCTCAACAGAAACAATATTCGTCTCCACCTCTACCGTCTGTCGCACAATCCAGTTGAGAGATTGGGTAATCATTAGCGCATACGACATCGCAAGACCGACCATACCAGCGGTAATACCAGTGTGCGTGGTCACAGATATGATTGCGAAAATGGCAGCTGCAAGGATAATGACAGATCCGAGGAATTCAAGTCGCACTGCAAGCCATCTATTGGCACTAATCGACGGGAAGTACGCTCTGATATTGGCGTCCATTCGCCATTCATTATCCTGAGCAAATCGCTTTTGTTGTCTGAATGCTCTGATGGTGGATATTCCACCAAGACTCTCTTGGAAGTGCGCAAAGATGGGGCTCTTGCTGACACTGTCAAGACGCTTGAGTTCTCGCGATGTTCTCAGATAGTACTTCTGGTATCTCAGATAAACGTAGCCAAGTGGGAGGACAAGAACGAGGAACCAAGGCGTAGAGATGC